CGGGGGGGGGGGGGGGTGAGAGGAGAAGTAAAGCCTGGTGCCAGGGAGGGGCTTCCAGCCTTCCAGGAGCCCAGCTCACCTGCCCACAGTACACAATCTCCCCTGAAGACTTCTTCATCTTCTTCAGCTGTGACACGAAATACCAGAATCGGGACTTGGCCACTACGTGGTTGGGTGCAAAGATGCGCATGCGGTAGAGGGGTGGCGTGTGACACTTGGGGGTGGGTAGGCAGCGCCCCACCACCTTGTACTCGCGAAGCTGAAAGACAAGAGGCAGTGAGCCAGGTAGTAAGCCCCGCCACTGAACTGGCTCAGCAAACTTCCCTCAGTTACTCCATTTTGTTCAGAGCCATTTCAGCAGCAACTTTGCTCCACACCAAAAGCAAAAGGAGGGACAACCTTGGGCCTTGGAAAATTGCCCTAACCATGAATCATGGAATGTGCTAACCAGCTTTTTTTCGCTTCTGTAATCCGCTTGCTATCTTGGGACACCTTGACATAGGGCATAAGACCACCCTTGTTATCCTGTTATTGTATGACCACCTAGAAGTCATTTACCTTGACTGTCTTATTAGACTTATTATGGCTAAAACAGTTGGGTAGTTTTAAGGTCACAAAGTTGATTGCCAAGTTATATGACTGTATCACTGGTCTGTATAATGATTGGTTGTTGATTAATAGAGTCAAAATTCTGCTATGTTGTACAAACCTAATTGATTCACAAATGTCCTGTTTTAATAGTAATTCTGTAATCCTATAAAAACTCTGACCTGACAATCATCAGGACTGCTTCTCCCAAGATAGACAGCCTGGACGGGCGAAAATTAAAATTTACCTTGCTACTTTTCTTAAAGTGGTGTTGGTGATTTTTTAAGAACTCTGTCCTATAACAGCCACCAGATGGGGTAGGGCATGGAGGTGACCTGAGGCGTCCACGTGACAGATTACGCACCTCTCAGTCCCACCCTCTCCCACCCGGGCACACTGGCCAATCAAGGGCGCATGCAATCACAGGAGGAACAAAGTTCCAGTCCAGCCTGAGCTGCACAGAAAAGAGGGTCCAGGCCCAGCATGACTCTGCTGGGCACAGAGGTACACTGAACCAGGGTGACCCCCACCCAGGCTGCTGCCACCACCACCGATTGTCCTATCCACCTGCTGCTGAGGCTACACGCTCAGGCCCACAGTCACAGCCACTGCAGGATGGGCACTCTGTTCTGATACTGACACTACCTTACCTGTTTCCCCAGCTTCACATCCCTGCTCAGATTGGGGGGAGGGGTCACTGCCCAGTGCCAACTCCAGACCTTCGCTAGCTCTCCACTAAACCAAGGAGTACCCATGCCAAGACCTCACTTGTATAGGGTGAGGTCTACTTTCCTCATGCCTCACCCAATTACAGAGATACCACCCAATTACAGAGATACCACACACCTATAGTTTAAGAACAAAACAAAACAGGGCCCCATGCAGTCCAGGCTGGCCTCAAATTCACTTAGTAGGTGAGGATAAGCCTGAACTCCTGATCTTCCGCCTCCACCTCTCAGTGTGCTGACATGAGCTGCTAGAACCCAGGAACTAATTAATGTATGATAGGAAAACACTCTACCAATTGCATCCCAGCCCCCTTTTAATTTGATGCAAAGTAGTTGTGTTTCCTTTTTTCGTTTTGAGATGAGGTCTCCCTGTAGCCCCAGTGGCCAGGAACTCACCTTGCAGCCCAGGCCAACCCTGATCTCAAAGATCCACCTGCCTTTGCCTCCCCAACGCTAGGATTAAAAGTGTGCTCCACCTCGCCAGGAACTTATTTTTTACTTTTCCGTCTTTTTGAAACAGGGTCTCCCCGTAGCCCCAGCTCGCCTGGAACTGTGTAGACCAGGCTGGTCTCGAACAAAGAGATCCGCCTGCCTCTGCCTCCCAAGTGCTGAGATTAAAGGCGTGCGCCACCACACCTGGCTCCGGGAATTAGTTTTTGACACAGACCCTTAGTCTCTCTGAAACTCGGGGCACTCTCCGTGCCTCAGTTTCCCTAGTGATATGATCCCAACCGTGCGGCCTCGTGCCTGGCTTTTTTTTGTTTGTTTGTTTGTTCCCGGACAGATTCTTGACTACAAGTTCTGGAACCCGCGGAAATGTCTCTGAGACTCCCGCCCGTGCAGCGCGCCCACATCGAGGCGAGGCCGTCATCCGTTTGCGTTGGCCTCAGCTCCACGCTGGAGAATGAGCCCCCAGTCCCGGTCAGAACTGAGGCTGGGCCGCTGCGCTCCCGCCGCTCCCCGGACTCCGCTGCACACGCGGCCGCCGCCATGTTGGCCGCGAGGAGCCCCCGGCACTCGGGGAGCTGCGGCCGTGCCGAGTGAGCATATCCCGGCGGCCGTCCACGCCTCTAGCCAGGTCCGCAGTGCTGCGCCGCTCCGCTCACGCCGCGCCCCAGTCCCCCACCCGACCTTGGCCTCCTTACTGTGCCCGAGGCCTTCATTGCGCTCCCTCCGCGCTCGCCGCCACCCTCAAAAGGAAGCCCTGCCTTTCGCTCAGGCTCTCACCAAGGATTCTCTGCAGGAAGTCCCGCCCTGAAGATGCCGGGCGTCCATTGGCTGTCTGGCCTAGCGCTCAAAGAGCTTTGATTCTTCATTGGTTACAGTTCTGCCTCTTCCAGAAGCGACCTAGCGACCTACAACTCCTAGGAGGGAGGACGGCGTGCTTTACGACTTCCGCCGGGGCCGGAACGGAGAGGTGTCGCGCGCGGAATGCTGGGAGTTGTAGGTGTCTTGGTGGTCTCTAATCTGTCATCCAATAATCTATCCATCTATCATCTATCTACCATCTATTTAACTATCTAATTGGGTTTTTGGGGTTTTTTTTTTCGTCCTTTTTGAGACAGCGTCTCCTTGTAGCCCCAGCTGGCCTGGAACTCACTCTGTAGACCAGGCTGGCTTTGAACTCACAGAGATCCGCTGCCTCAGACTCCCGAGTGCTGGGATCGAAGGCGTCCGCCACCCGGCCTTAACCATCTAATTGTTGTGGTGTTTGAGTCAGTGACTTATTTAGCCAAGGCTGTCTTGGAACTCAAGGTAATCCTCCTGCCTCAGGCTCCCGAACGCTAGGATGATAGCCACGAGCCCCCCCCGCTCGGCCACGTTTCTATTGTCTTTTGAAGGATTTTGTCGCTTTATCTCTTAGCTTTAACTGTTCCCTGGGCAGGACCCCCTCATCGTGATCCGTCAGCAGGGCGCTTCCAGTGATGGCCGCTAGATGGCGCCAACCTTCCTGTGGATGGGCTCTGCACGCCTGTCCGCACCGGGAATTGATTTTAGGCTCAACCACACTGGGGCCTCGAGGAAACCATCCACAGTCTCCGTTTATAGGAACACTGTGAGATTTAGAAGTTGGGCGAGTAATGCATGCCTGTAGAACCTCAATAAGAAAACTGAGGCAGGAGGATCACGAGTTCCAGGCCAGCTTTTGCTACATAGTGAGCACCTGTCTGTCTAACATACGTAAAAAACATACGAGCGTGAGAGCGTGCACTGCGGAGGCTACGGTGCTGCAACTTTAGGTACTGGCACGCACTGGCCCGTGCCTCAGTTTCCCCAAGTTGTGGGAGTGGAGAATGGGGTGTAAAGATACTCTGTAAGACTCAGGGCAGAGTGTGGGGCGCAACCTAGATCCTGAGATGGGACAGGGGAGGGAAGTAGGGACGTAGGGACCCAGAGGCCCAGTCTTGGCCTTGGCCTGGGCTCTCTGTCTGCAGGGGGCAAGTTCACCTACCCCAGAGCTGGAAAGGACAGAGATGCAAAGAGGCGAATTTGGGTGCTGAAAGTTTGCTTCATGTTTTGTAGAAGTTCCCCAACCCCCGACCCTAGGCTGTCCTGGGCAGCGACAGGGTCAGAGTTTCCACATCTTCCTGCCCTGACCAATGAATGCCCCTATCCCCCTCGTTCCCCTATCTCCCCTCCCACCTATGAAGACTCCAGACCAGCACACTAGACCCACAGCAAGCTGATGCCCAGGCCACCTGTCACCACTGCTCAATCAGACCGGAAGTTCTAGGTTACCAGCCCGCTGCTGATCGGCCCTGTCTTTCTTTTCCTATTAGGAGCCCCTTTTTATTAATCTGGGAGGTCAGTCCGTACCCCAGATTTGATCCCTGCAAGTTACTAGACAGAGCTGTCCCCTGCTTGCTGACTCCCATCCCCAGCTCACCGAATCGCCCCTACGTATTTCAGGGCGGGGCGAGATTTCTTTGACCCTCAGTCCCTAAAATATTCCCAAACCTACTGCCTGGTACCTTGGGTTCTCAGACCTGCAATGGACATTTAAATTATTTGTTTTTTACCCGGGAATGGTGGCGTATGCCTTTAATCCCAGTACTGGGAAGATCTATCTGCCTCTGCCTGGGATTAAAGGTGAGGGCCACACAGCTGTCAATGGACTTTTTTTAGTCTTAGAATCCGAGGTGGATCCCAGGGCCTTGTACATGCTAAGCAAGGATTCTAGTCCCTGAGCTGCATTCCAGACCTCAGTATCTTTCCAGTTTTGTACATTATAGTGAGATTGAAGGAATATCTCATCCTACCTAGTTTGTTTTGGAACAGGGTCTACCTATGTGGCTTAGACTGGGCAGGAAGTTCCTCCTGCCTCAGCCTCCCCAGTGCTGGGATGACAGGGTGCACCCCATATCTAGATGGAAGCATTTTATATGATGAAATCTTATTTTATCTCGTTTTAAAGGCTAAAAAAGTCATGTAAGAAGTCTTTTGTATTCTGCAAATGTTGTGACAAAATACTTTTTTTGTTTTTAGACAGGGTCTCATGTAGGGTCTCAGGCTGGCCTTTGGCTCTATGTAGCTGAGGATGACCCAAAATGATTGTCCTGCCTTCGAATGCTGGGATGACAGGTGTGAGTGTTACCATATCTAGTCACAAATGGGATTTTAAAAAAGTTTGTTTCTGGGGTTGGAGAGATGGCTTAGCAGTTAAGAGCACTGACTGCTCTTGCAGAGAACCTGGGTTCAATTCCCAACACCCACATGGTGGCTAACAACTATCTGTAACTCCAGTTCCAGGGGATCCAACACCCTCTTCTGACCTCGGGTGTTGAAGGACACGGGTGCACCTACCTACATGCAGGCACACAAAATACAAATAAAATAAAAATAATAAAGCCAGGCATGGTGGCACATGCCTTTAATCCCAGTACTCGGGAGGCTGAGACAGGCAGATCTCTGTGAGTTCAAGGCCAGCCTGGTCTACATAGTGAGTTCCAGGACAGCTGGGGCTACAGGGAGACCCTGCTTCAAAAAGAAAAATAAATAAAAATAATAAAATATTTTTAAAAAAATTAAATAAAATATTTTTTTTTGGTCTTTTTGAAACAGGGTCTCCCTGTAGCCCCAGCTGTCCTGGAACTCACTAATGTAGACCAGGCTGGCCTTGAACTCAGAGATCCACCTGCCTCTGCCTCCCAAGTGCTGGGACTACAGGCATGTGCCACCACGCCCAGTTCTATTTTTAGTTTTTTATGTGTATACATGTGTTGCTTTAACTGCTGCATGAAGGTAGGTGCACCCCTGCCTTAAAATGCCTGAGGATGACAGAAGAGGCCATTGGATCCCCTGGAACTGGAGTTACGGACAGTTGTTAGCTGCCATGTGGGTGCTGGGATTAGAACCCGGTCTTCTGCAACAGCCAGTGTTCTTAACCACTGAGCAATCTCTCCAGCCCCAAAATAATTTTTTAAAAATTATTTATTATTTTTATGGTATGTGTTTGAGTGTATTGCCTTGCTTATTTGTAAGGGTACCTTTGTCATGCAATACCTGAGAAGGTCAGAAGAGGGCGTCGGATCCCATGGAACTGGAGTTAGGGATGGCTATTAGCCACCATGTGGGTGCTGGGAATTGAACCCAGATCCTCTGTAAGAGCAGACAGTGCTCTTAACTGCTGAGCCTTCTCTCCAACCCCAACCAAAATAATTTTTTAGAAAATAAAAAAATTTGTTTCATCTTCCAAATGTTTTCTGTTAGTACAAAATTAAAATGCATTATTTATTTATTTGTTTTTTTGACAAAAGATCACTCTGTAGACCCAGCTAGTCTGGAATGTACTTTAATGTTGAATTGTATTTCATTATAGTTAAAGAAACAAAAAGTCAGTTTGATATAATTAAATGTCATTTAACTTTTGTTTCTTTATTGTCTGACTTTTTTTGAGACAGGGTCTCCCTGTAGCCTCACCTGGCCTGGAACTCACTATGTAGACCAGGCTGACCTTGAACTCACAGAGATCTTCCCGCCTCTGCCTCTGGAGTGCAGAGATTAAAGACATGCACCACAATACCTGGATATATATATACATATAGTGCAGTGCCCACAGAGGTCAGAATATGTCAGATCCCCTGGAACTGGAGTTACGGATAGTTGTTAGCAGCCATGTGGGTGCTGGGAACAGAACCCAGGTCCACTGCAAGAGCAGCCAGTGCTCTTAACCACTGAGCCATCACTTCAGCCCTTTGTCTTATTTTTAAAAAGATGTTTTTTATTTATATTTTATGTGTATGAGTGTTTTGCCTACATGTACTACATGCATGCAATGCCTACGGAGGCCAGAAGAGGGTGTCAGATTCCCTTGAACTGGAATTATGGAGTTGCTCGCCACCATGTGGGAGCTGGGAACTGAACCTGGGTCCTCTGCAGGAGCAGCCAGTGCTTTTAACTGCTGAGCTGTCTCACCAACTGCATTTTTGGTCTTCCTGAGACAGGGTCTCACTGGGTAATTCTGACTGGCCTACATATCACTACGTAAATGGTGTTGACTTTGAACTTAGAGTAATCCCTTTTCTCCTGCCTCCTCATTGCTGGGATTGCCTACCTTAGTTGCTAAGTATTTTAATTACATTTATTTATTATTATTGGGGGGGACAAACATCTGGAGATCAGAGGACAACTTGCAGGAGTCAGCTCTCTATTTCCACCACATGGGACCAGAGGATCTAACTGGGTTGCCTGGTGGGAAGCCCCTTTACCCACTGACCCATCTTATTTGGCACCATTGAGATTCACCCTGTCCTTTTTCCTTTTATTTTGAGACAGGGTCTTACTATGTAGCCCAGGCTGACCTCAAACTTGCAATCTTCCTGCCTCAGACACCTGGGTAAAGCAAACTGTGTACTGGTGTGCGTGCCAGGACTTACAGGAGGTCAGAGGCCAGTTTACTGGAATCCATTCTTTCCACCATGTGGGTCCCAGGGATTGAACTGGCTTGGTGGCAGTTGTGGGGTTTTTTTTGTTTTTTGGTGTGGTTTTTTTTTTTTTTTTTCCAGTCTTTTTGAGAGAGGGTTTCCCTGCAGCTCCAGCTGGTCTGGAACTCGCTATGTAGACCAGGCTGGCCTTGAACTCATATCACAGGCATATACCACCATGCCTGGCTTCATGGCAGGTGTTTTTAACAGCTAAGTCATCTCTTCAGTTCCATTTCTCCTATTATGTGCTGCAGTTTAGATAAATGCAGCCCACAAGTTGAAGAGCAGGTCTTGGCCCATGCAGCTGGTGAGAGGCGCTGGGA